AATCAGTAAGTGGACTCCGTCTGGTTGGATATTACTCCTGTACAGGGATGTAGTTGGCATATTCTAAACCCCGTAATTTCTTGGTGTAAAATTACTGTATGCCATGTGATACCAAGTTTTGCTTACAGGACAGTAAACCTCTCGACAGTTTTCTTTTTTATTAGAAACTTTCTTCGCCTTTGGAAATAAGTACGTGTGTGTGTGGAGGAGAGGATATATGATATTAATAAAGAGGTTTGTTCATGTACAGACATTCAGATGAAGAGGAAGGAAGACAATTCGCGGCTGGTGTCTCTGATGTCTGCATCTGGCGGTTTGGTTATAGTCGAGCCGGTCAGCCATGTTTCTTTGAATTCGCCATGATGCCAAGTGTGTATTTTGAAACAAATACAACTTCTACTTAATACTGATTTCTTGTACTTTCCAAACTAACTAGAGCCTCACAGGCTTAGGGATTTAGAAAACTAAATAGACCTATTTGATTGGTTAATTATTCTGTTTTAATGAACGCATGATGTATTCTCTATTATGTTTGCCAATATGAGACCAGTTCAAGTGAAGCTGATTTTGTTTTTCGCCAAGAAAACAGTTACCAGAATTATTCCTATAGTAGAATATTTTTTCAAACACGCTGACGCCTGTTGAAATTCTCACAATACTTAACATTGTTGAAGTTATCGCTAACATTTTTGTCGAGATTTACAAAATCTACGTTTCGTTCAATTTCGCAAATCAATCGATGAAATTTGATTAAGCTGACTGGTTTGAAAAAAAACTTTGACAAAAACCCAACTTCGCGGTTTAATAATTTCTTTAATTTAATTTAATTTAATTTAATTTATAGGACTTCATCGTAAACAATACTTTTTAAGAAAATTAATTTTTTCATTTTTAAAAGCGAAGAAAAATTTTTTAGGATTTCTTACTCTTGAGTATGCAACATACAACTGACCATGTGTAAATATTTCTTTCTAGAGCTAAATTTTAACTTGTTTGGCCTTGAGATTTGTTTATAGTTCTCGCAAACGTAAGAATTATATTCTTGTATATAATAACTTAAAGAAAATACATGAAGAAAATAATATTGCATTTTTATTAAATAAGTATTTGTTATTTTAATCATTAAATTGTTTTTGAAATAGTGAGAGTATTTTTATGTTAAATAATAAAACTTTTAATTTTTCGAAAAAATGGATAAGTTATTGTACTAATCTGCGCAACTTAGTAAAACCAACTGTTCTTTGTACCCACTTACCTGTTTGCACTTCTCCCCCAAAAAGCGCGTGATGGACGGACGGAGTAAAGGAAATCACAGAATTTTAGATATAGATTTTAGACATTTTTGTTTGATTGCTAATTGTTTATAATGTGGCAAGCCATCTTTTTTTCATCCAATACAAGCCTTAAAGAGTTATTGAATGAGGTAAGGGCGTACAGAGAAGAAGTAATAGGTACACATTTGAGGATATGTAGGATATATAACGGTTAACTCTAAACTTGAAGTGGTTAAGATTGAAATGATCGAGGACGCACCCCTTCCACGGTGTATCATTTTGGGAAAGAAGCTTTCTGAGAGAAAATTTCTCCTAATCACTGGAACACGAAAGGAATAAGAACGATTCAACTCAGGGCACGTGACATGGCGAGTCCTGGCTGTGAAGACTGGTGGGAGTCTAGTCCGTTTCAGCGTCTTCTATGGATATAACATAGGTTAGCAACTGTGAGAAAGGGGTAGCAGGATGGAAAATAATTCATCAACCACATGGCGGCGTAAACGATTTTGAACTCTTTCAAGGTGAGAATTGCTCAGTTTCCGCTTAGATATGGCAGCCATACTCCATTTTTTTTATCCGACCTGGTTTTTATACAGACAGAGAATGTCAGAAGAAATCAGGTACTTTCTGATATCATTTTTAAGTATCTTTAGCGATGGATCGTATGTATGAGATGATTTGTTAGCTTAAATCCCAATAGAGGTTTCAGACAATAAGGCTCATTGGCAGTACAACCCCTCATCGTGCTTGGAGAAACCCCAGGTCTGCTCTGTGATGCTGAAACGTTACCAGCTTAGTTTTTGAAGGCATTGGATTTTACAAACCAGTGTTTAACCCATTGATCTGTGCAGGCAAGGTCAGGGAATAGATCGGCTTCTAGGCACTGGTTATCATATTTTGGTTGGGGAGGGAATGAACCTAGGTAACGAAATGACAATATCTCAAGCTGTATATGTAAAACCGAAGTGGATTAAATGCCAGAAAACAAAGCTGTAATTGTATACTTCATAACGATATCTAGAGGCGCGACCGGAAACTACTGAACGGTTCAGATCCTATTCTTCAAATGGCAATACTTAGCACCGACACATATGGCAATATAGTAGCTCCTGTAGATAGGACAGCCTCCTTCAGTGTTACTCAGTTTCGAATCCCTGACAATTATTGACCAGCTTATCAATATATATATATATATATATATATATATATATATAGATAGATAATAGATAGATAGATAGATAGATAGATATAGATATATAGATATATATAGTTAAATTCCCAGATCAATTCTGTGGACAAAGACAGATTGGTATAAAATGACAATTGGAAAAAAAAACTTAGATTTTGCCGACGCGTTTCGTTCCCCCAATACAAGCCTTAAAGAGTTATTGAACGAGGTAAGGGTATACAGAGACGTAATAGGTACTTCAGACATTTTCAAGGCAAAAAACAAATAAAAAATCCCTTACTATAAAGGTAATTTACATTAACCAGAAAAAAGGGCTTAGACAGAAGCGTCTATCATTTTAAATTTTGATTTTTTAATGTAACTAAACAAAAAGATTTCGATTTCATCTTTGCCTTGAAAAAGTCGGACGACGAGACTCGTCGGTAAAATCTAAGATTTTTTCCAATTGTCATTTTATACCATATATATATATATATATATATATATATATATATATATATATATTACGCTACTTTGTATTTTTACAATGCTCAATCTAAATTCAAACTGATGTAAAGTTCCATGATCCTCTGTTTATTTTTTTAATATTTCAAAATGTCGGGTGGTCTTGGCTCTCAACAGATTCCTTTAATGTGTAAGATTTGCCAATTACTGTAGCTTCTTTGGAAATATAGTGATTTTTATTTGCTTTTTACACGGTTTTGAATTCAGATTTGTCCTCCTACTTTGCCATATCAGGACTGAAACGCACAATCTACCCTACTATTTATCCATAATTTGGGGAAGGGGATGTGGAGTCATGCTTTTTGCAAAGGCATTAGCACAAACTTAATCCAGCAGCATAAAGTGGAATTTGAACTTGCCAGCTTATCCTTCCATGCTGATAGCCGTTAGATCATTTGGATTTCTTTTAAATATATACTTATATTTAAAAATGTCCCACATTAAGAATGTACTTGTCTACATAATTAATCGCAGTACCTTTAACGCAATATTTATTGTATAAACATGTGGCAATTAGACTACGTCCCGATAAGTTTCCGCTGCATGGAGGTGGGAAATTCGGCCACCTCTGTGGAGTGAGACCTTCTGCTGACTTACAAAAGCTTTACATATATATATATATATATATATATATATATATATATATATATATATATATATATATATCCAGGAGGATATTTTGAGCATGTGTAAATGGATGATAGAACGTGGACCACGGAGAATGGTGAAAGCACAAATTTGCTTATAGTCACGAAGGATATAAAGTTGTGAGAGCCATGATCTCACACACATCCTGAAGAGGTACAGTACATAGAAGAATGTTTACTTTGATTGCTCGATAGTTTTTTGTTTTAATCAATTCACCCCAAGCAAGGCGTTAATGACACTAAAACGCAAGGGGCTAACGGGAGTGAAAGAGAATGAATAGACTTTAGAAGGAACCTGAAACGCAGTCCTAAACAGGAAATAAGGGATAAATATTTAGTCCTGTTCAAAAGTCAAGGGAGAAGTGTGAACTGGACGATAGGCAAACATTGAAATTCTCTTGATGAGAGCTAAAATTTTATAAAATGTATCCTAGTTTCTTTGTTATTAAGTTTTTTATAAGTCATAATTTCCAATTTTTACCGAAATAAAAAAATACCTGCAGATTTAGTTATTTTAGCAACTATTACCCTACATCGAGCGGTTAATAAGGCGATAGATTTACCAATGATAGAGCGGTTAATAAGGCGATAGATTTACCAATGTTAGAGCGATCCTTTGACAAAAAAATTCTTTATCTCTCTTGCGCTTTTAGGATTATGCCTCTTTAATGTAATACAGGCGGAGAACTCGCAATTTTCTTTATTTCCTTAATTTCTTTTTCCTTATAAACACACGTCAGCACATCATTTATTTCGAACGAAAATGGATCAGAAGGCTTGTCTCATTTAAAAACAATCATAAAATATCCGTTATCACAACGGGTTATTATATCTGCAAATCTTAGCACTATTTGGCTTCATTTGCTTGAGGTAGACTGGGAAGCAGATAAATGCTATTGAGGTAAAAAATAAATAAATAAAAATTGTAGACTTCAGGCGCAGAAAAAAAAAGAAAAAGCGGTCTCCCACACGAACCCGTTATTTTTAGTTTCCATCCTAACAATCACACAAAGAAAACTTACATCTTTCAATTAGATGAATATTAAAAAGTATGACTGTTTGATTACGAAATTGAAGATTACGTATTAAAGAATTAACTCCAAATCATAAAGGAAAAATGGTTATCCTGTGACAAGAACAATAAAGAGTCAGTTGTTGGTGATTTCTTTAGCGATATATCAATCTCTATGGGTTATTTAATGCCGAAATATGACTGTTTGGTATACTGATTTTGTTTTAGTCTTACAAATTAAACCATAGCTTATTCATACTTTTCCCAAGGGTATTTGTGCGTAGATGAATATGACGAATCCAGATGGATTTGGAACTCGGCTTTCGGATTAACAGTTATGGGCCATTATCCATTACACCATCCGCACATCCAAGCTTACAGCACCTGGTATTCCCAAGCGGTCTCTAATCTAGATACTGACCAGGCTAGATACTGACCAGGCTCGACGTTGCTTAACTTCGGTGATCTTACAGGAACCGGTGTTTTCTGCGTAAAGTGACCGTAAGCCATAAAGAGTCGGATCCGACAGGAAAACGTTATAGCAGAAAATAAGAACAACATAAACGGTACAGAGAAAGTAAAATCCAGAGAAAATTATGAGGAGGAGAAGGGCGAATATCTTTGCATGGATTTTCTTTTTACAATAAGTCGGGGGTGGGGGACTACTCGAGATAGAGGATTACGATAAGGGAGAGTTTACACGGATAGAAGGGAAATATAACAGTTAACTAGACTTGAACAGGTTGAAGATTGTAGTGATTGGGGAAACACCCTCTTGGGAGTCTGTTCCACAGAGCAGTGGTTTGCGGAGAGAAGTTGTTTGAGTGAAACTTACTTCTCACCGATGGAATACGGAGAGAATGTGGGTAGTTTGCTGCAATGTCAGTGGCATGGTAGGTCCTAGCTATTTTGGTTAGACCAGGCGGAATCCGGAATATAATTGGTCCAAGCACTTTCCATGAAAGAAGCGATAGAGCTGTTACTCCTAGTTATGATCTTGCAAGCAAACAGCAAAACCTGACTCTACAGAACGAAACAAATAAAGAGATGCTTACGGATGATCAACACAGCCAAGCGGATTCCGACCGACGAAAACGTAAATATAGAAGAAAAATACTCAGATTACATCATTGGAAAGACAAGCTCGCAATCTCTATAAGTGTTGTAACCTAGGGAAGGTTACTGAATAGAATAATCAAATGAAGGTTGGTAATGAACGATAATACATAGGACAAGAACAACACATATAAGATTCGCCAGCGGCGCGTAGAAGTAGTCAACTACTAGAAGTGAGTCAAGAGAATTCCACAACGAATCCCCAACTGCAGGATATCTAACAACCGTCCCACGCGGTCAGATGTGGCACAAGGCTGAATTCAATGTGGGGTCTCCGATCCCGTAGGCTCGGCCAAAAATTCCCAGTAGACCCCGTCTAAAACGGGGTTTGGTAGATGTTTCCCGAGACGAGACTCTGCCCTTTTAAATAGCTTCATCTGGGGATCCTCTCTGCCCGGAGACAGAGAGTTTGACTAGCACAGCTGGAGACGAATCTCCAACTGCAGACCAACATACAGTATTTACTACTGTATTTATGTGAATGGGGACATACCCATTATCGTCACTATAACGAAGCCGACTGAAATTGGAACTCGGCACTTAACAATTCAGAACCATTATCCATTACACCTCCCGCATATCCATGCTTACAGCAGCTGGTATTCCCAGGCAATCATCCATCAAGGTACTGACCAGGCTTGACGTTGCTTAACTTCAGTGGTCGTATGCAACCTTAGTATTAGTAAGGCCGGTTAGCTAAACTATCAGTGACATATAGTGGTCTGAAGAGGCGAGTGGCTTCCTTGTGATGCGTCCAATACAACATTTATACATAAATACATACCTATGAGAGAGTAGGATCTGTTTAAAACAAAGTTGCCCTTGTTACCACGCATGTTATCGCGTAGAGGGAATAATAACCAAGAAGAAATGCTAACGGACGAAAAAGCCTCTTACTCGAATGTCTCAGTATTTCACTAGAGATGGCCATCTGAAGCCACGAGAGGTAATCAAGGAATTGTTTATCTAGCTTTCTAATCGGTCGGAACTGCATGATGCTGGCTTTATGTTATAGTGGAATACACCTATTCTATAGTTAATAGACTCTCCCACCTATAATAAGTAAAAGTAGTAGGAGTCTCTCAGTGGGTCGGTGAGTCAGTCGACTGGCTGATCGGTTGAACTCTCTGCCTTCGGGCGGGGAGGAACCCGAACGAGGCTACGCCGAAGGGCGGATTCTCTTTCGGGGAGGTAAACCGACCCTGAACCCGTTTATACGGGTTCAATGGGCATATTTTTGGCCGTGCTCACGGGCTCGAAGATCCCACGTTAAACCGGCCTTGTGCCACATGATGCCCACGTGGGGGGGTGACTAAATATAGTCGGTGAGTCAGTCGATGACGGACGACCGTTAGTCGGATACTAAAGTATCAGCGACCACAACTAGATTTTTCTGCGTCATTACCTATTATATCAAGTTCCTAACGTTTTGTACGTCGAACCTATTTTAGGACCGACTTAGTACAAATACAAGCCTCCATTGTGAAACCACTCCATAACACACTTGGCGACGGGGTATTCGGATTCATACGGTGGAAGAGAAAAAAAAAATTCACACTCCATAACACTTTATTTTCACGCTCCTGCGGGATTGTCACGTGACAAATGCGAATAATATTTTCCTATCACTACATTAGGAAATACTCCCTGTCTTCATGGACGTACATATGTATATATCGTTCCAAAGACGAATATATATCACCCATCATTCCAATCACTTCTCTACTTGAAGCAACAGAAATGCGCTCCAACAGAAGCATGCTGAGAATACCATGAACGGCCAAGTTTTAGAGAAAATGTGTGTAACGACCAAGTTTTAGAGAAAATGTTAACAAAAAGGTCACTTATACTTAACATCACGTAGATGTATAGATCATTCCATTTCTGGGAGATCTTGCGTAATCTTATAGTCGTGCAAAAACATAACACATAACTAAATCTCTCATACGTATAATTATGGTTTATTGCGTCAATTAATATCGGTGAGGGGGTGTGTGACTTTGGGGAGTTTTCTCTCAATGTGGATTCTTCTCAAGCGTATTTGAGACATCCTCTACCTTTTTCCTCTCGGGTGGAGTGCTTATACATCTTCCGGTGAGTGATTGTTCTTTGTGTGCACATGAAGAACGCATCTGGATCAATGACTTGTTTACATGTCAGGAGCCGCCACCGACGTGCGGTGGATTCGTAAATTTGCACCTGGTAGCTAAGAGGTTATCTTCCAGGTCAACCCGCTTATGTACCTGACTTCTCTGATGTCCTGTGGTGACACAGTGCAAAGTCTATTTTGGTATCATCCGGGTTGAGCCTAGCATATATTTTGGTCACCACAGATCAACTCCTCTTAGAACAAAGGTTCCTTATTGGTATTAAATTCAATTCGAACCATTTAGTATTTTCTGGCGGGAATCACATACCACAATAATGATATATTTGGATGTGAGTGATTGCCAGATTTGCATATTCGAAGAATATAGAAAGAGCAGTAAACAACGCCACGTTAGCAGATTGAAAACCACTGATACGGTTTAAAACCCCCACCCCTAGACACAATGCCGTAAGCATTACACTACTTTATCTCTGTCTCCATGGCAACTGTTCGGATATATTTTCGATTAAAAAAATACTTGAATCAACAGAAATGGGGTTCTACAGAAGGATGCTGAGAATACCCTGTATAGAACATGTAAGCACCGACGAAGTTTTAGAGAAAATGGAAACAAAAATGACACTTTTACTTAACCCTAGAAAATTAACTATGAGTATATAGTACCCAGCGCCAATTTTCCTATTTTTAATTACAATTTTCTGTACCTGATTTTCATACCAATATAATATGTTTTTCAGTTCCTATTAATGTTAACTCAAAGTACAAAGTCTGAAGTGCCTGCATGTCAGATATTTCAAATAAAGATTTATATTTAATATTTTTTTGATATTTTCAAAATCGGGTATGATATACCTATGGTTAGTAGGGGTGTAACTTTAATTGATGGTTAGTGTTCTAGGGTTAACATAAAACAGATATAGTTGGAATTTCAAGGATACATAATAATAAAAGAAAAAAGGTTTGGAAAATATGATACTCAAAGGTCTGATTTTTTGTCAAGAGTGACAGGAACAACGCATAACTTACCTAGCGATCTTGAGTAAATGGATGGCGGAACAAGGTTTAGAAGGGATAATAAAAACACTAAATCAATTAAGTGCTACAAAGGGCATTAAAGAAGAAGACAGCGTTGAAATACTTGTCCTTTTCTCTAACAACTGAGCTAGGTATCGGAGAGTTCAAACGCAGTGCGTTATTCAAATAAAGCGCTTCTAAAAGATTATTTTAATCTGAGCACATTCCTATTTATAGAACTGATCACACGACTTAATAGTGGCCTATTTCACAGCTACGATTTCTTCATCTCGTTCGCTGTTGATATTTGACGGCTACGCATCTAAAAATAGTACCACGGAGTTGCACTACAGTTTCCATACGAACAAGAAACAGTATCAATATAGAATCATTCTTGTTCAACAGTGATTGACTCTTTTTCCAATTACTTCTTGTAATATAATTATACGCACAGTTTATCATACAAGCCATTGTTTGAATGAGTTATATATCTAGCAGGGTGAATAAGAGTTATACCAATATTGTCTTTTTGATCGAATTATTCCATCTGATTACAACCAATTATTGGTTTTGTTCAAGCGGTAGACAACAGATCTAAAAAGAAAAATGTAAAGATTCTTTTTTTCCGGACCTGAAGAAATTGGAGTCACTGAATATTTTAACCTTGTCATCGAGTAAGGACTCGTAACAGAAAAGGAAAATTCAACTCAGATATCCTTAGCTAGTATTGTGATTGATTGACTTGTTTTTTACGGTTTATCAACCTTTTGCTTGTTATTTAAAGCAAGAATTTTTTTTTGATAGCAAGAATTTTTTTGGAGATAATAATGGTTTAGTGATAGAAGTCTTACTAATTAACCCATAAATGGGGGGAAAGAGGTGGATTCATACCTTCCCGAAGGGTATTTGTGAAAAAGTGAATATAACAAATCCAGCGGGAATTAAAACTCCGCTCTTTGATTAACAATTCCGAGCCATTATCAGTTACACTAACCGTATATCCTAGCTTACAGAACATGGTATACTCAAGGGGTCACCCATCTAAGTACTGCCCAAGGTCGACATTGCTTAACTTAGGTGGTAGTACGGAAATCGGTGTTTCAGCGGTATGTGGTTTAGCAAGTTTTAGTAAGACCGGTTGGCTAAACTAACATTGACATATGGTCTGAAGAAATGTTATGTTTTTTTTTATCAACCTCGATGGGTTATTTAATGCCGACAATATTTTTATTGTTGCTAATATGTTTTTCTTCAAAAATCTATTT